TTCACACGAGCGTTCAAAAATAAATGCATATAAACTGCAAAGGCGAGAACTGACAGGTCTAGGACGGCGGAAATGAAGATGCAACTTGTATGAAATGCACCGTCGAGTTTAGCCTTAAAAATCAATCGCGGTCCATCGCGCGCGGGCAAATGGAAATGCGTAATTCGGCGGGCGAATGACATTAATTTCCAGACGTACCTGACAACCCGGGCATGTCGCGTGTTCGAAATAATCGCACGAACAGGACCTGGAGCATCCATATTTCGTGAGGAGCAAGACGCTATATGCCGCTGGTCATTGCTCCGTGCCATCGCCATTTTGTGTCCAGGTTCGCGCCCTGACGTTCCCTATCTATATATTATATGTGTGTGCGCGCATATACGTATAACGTATGCACGTGTCGAATCTCGTGTTTCGCGCGCGGAGGGCGAGAAAAAGCCACGTGACCCGCGGAAACGCGCTTCCGGATTGGCTCCGCCCGATGACGTAATAAAGCGACGACGCGCCGACCGCCTGGGTTAGCGATCGACGACAACCAAACGAACGTATCCACCCACCGAATATCGCGTGTATGTATATTCGTGTGCGTGCGTGTGCGCGCGCGCGGGAAAGAAGAACAGTCGGCGAAAACGAGTGCTCGAATTCGGCACCGCGGATATCTGTGCGCGATGTCGCGCGATTTATTCAGTACCGCGGGTTCTCACCTACCTACGGATGATCGACGTTTCGACACAGCACAGGTACGATACGATAAGCAAAATATTCGCTTCCCTCGGATTACACACTTCCGCTTTCTTCGCTGATAAGGCGATCTTTCGAAAACTGTCAGAGAGGTTATCTCGCTAAATGGTTTTTTTTTTTTCGTTATTTTTAAGAGAGAAATATTTTTTGTTCGATAATTTTGGAGAAAATGCACCGAAAAAATTTGAAACTAAATTTACTATTTTGTTAATTGAACATATATTAGTATTTAAGACAAATAATCGGTTTCTTGGAGTTATATGTTTATATAAATATTTTTATATGTTTAGTTAACAAAATAATATTTAGTTGAAAGGTTTAATCAAGTTAACATATTTATAATATACAGAGGCATGCTTAATGTAACATTTTTCATAAATTTATTTCTAGAGAATAAAATATTTTAGTCCTCTTTTAACGAAATTAATTATTAGTTATACAAAAAATTGTTAACTTGACTTAAATCGTTCAACTAAATTACAATTTTGTTAATTAAACATATATTAGTATTTGTCAAATAAACGTTTTCCTAGAGTTAATAGTTAATTTAAATATTTCTGTATATTCAATTTACAAAATAATAATTAATGGAACGATTTAGTTAACAACTTTTTTTTCAGCGTACATATAAAGTATTTTATTCGTCATTTTTATCTTTTTATTCTTGGAGTAACAAGTTAAAAATTGTTTAAACAATATTTACTGTACTTATTGGGGCATTTCAACAATTATCTATAATTTACGATATACATGGTGTGCAAAAAAATAGAAAATTACTTTCCATATGTGTAATTATTTTTTATTACATTATTGACTATTGCAAACCACATACTCTTTATATAATTAACGATTTCTCAACGTCATTATATTGAAGCTATGTTAGGCTTGAGAAGAATAATCATGGATAATTATCGATGAATCATCACTTTCCTATATAAAATATTTGCACCTCGCTTTAACACCATTATCTATTATCTACTTTCTACTAATGTATTGCTTTATATGTACGATCATGTTTTACAAAGAATATAAATTCTGTATAAGACCGTCAATAAAAAGAAGGTCCTCTATTAAATGAGAAATGACAGACGTGCAACACTTTGTGCAACGTAAATTGAGATTTAATATTTCAGAGTTGAGACTTTCACGTATATATGTATACAATATGTTATCTCGAAATCAGGATAATAGGAATATCAGTGGGATAAACGTTCTCAAATTTTTTACTCTATTAAAACACGGCATTACATTTACGTGTTATCATAAAATTAATGAAATCGAATTATATCGTATATTTATTATTTATAGGAATTAAAACATGTAATTTTAATTTAATTTTTTAAATAATTTAACTCTCAATTTTTTAAAAATGTTATTGCATATTACGCACTTCTTTTTCACATCATCTCGCAAATAATAAAGCTAATGTATACCCTGAAAAAAGATTTATCAACTTATCCAAACCTTTCAACTAAATTATGTTGTCAGTTCAACATATATTAATATTTAAGTCAAATCTACGATATAAGCTTAATTAATTAGATATTTTCCCACGTCTTTAATTGATAAAATAATTAATTGAAAGGTGCGTGGTCAAGTTAAGAATTTTGTTTAGTGTACACAAATCAGTAAATGATGTTCCTCGGTGCGGATTCGCGACAGTATCCATCCATCTGTCATTTCGCGCGTGACACGTGTTTCTGACACATCGATACGTTCGATTTCGATTTGCGCGGGGTCGAAAATCGAGCGAAAAAAATCGAGAGGGAAAGAGAGAGAGAGAGAAAATATCGCGGGATTTAAAAAAGCACAAGGGTGACCCTCTATACGTAGTGGGGGTAACGAACCGACGTAGGAGAGAGATCGAGCACGAGTCCCTCGTCCAGCATTCCGTCACGGGCGTTCATGACCGGCGGACGTGTTGCGTTTCGCCGTTAGGCGTATTTTCTCACCGAGAAAATCGCGGCTCGTTTTTTCGCAAGGAAACGTACGTGTTCGGCGGCCAGTGATGTGGAAAATTCGACGGGACGAGATCCGCGGCCGCAGGGTTCTAAATCGCCGATTTCTTTCCCTCGAAGTCGATTTCCAGGAGTTTCAAGTAAGAACCACATTTTTTTTATTATGACTGATTAAAGTATTATTAATTTAATTCATTATTCCGAGAGAGAGAGATGGGGTTAATCTCGTAAAACTCTCGAAAATGGTAATATTGAGCGATACAATTTGATAATAATTTTATATGATATTTATAATGATAGGATTTGTCTTGATATATAGTAATTTTGCAAGAGTGAATATTTTAATACAGTATAATTGACGAAATGAAATAATAAAATTTTCCTTTTCTCGTAGACTCTCTAATTTCTTGTTTGAAATAATTTCAATAATGTATTACGCAGGCGAATTAAGTATTGATAATAATTAATTAATTAACAAGCTTTGCAATGTAAAGTTATTGATTAATCGCTTCGCGTATAATTCATTCCATTTTGAAATTCGATGAGCGTTTATCGAAATCAGGGGAATCTGAACGAGGTATCGTTAACAAATGTTTCGCTCGTTTGCATTTGTGTTTTCCCCGCGTTTTCATGAATTATAAATATTTCCAATGTCGAGAGCGTAATAAAACGGCACAAAGAACGATATATCTATGTAGTTTTAGCGATACAATACCAGTTTACGAATAAAACTCTCTCCCTCTCTCAGGAAATAAAATTACCATTTAATTAATCGTCGGCCGCTCGATGTTTATTTTATCGGCGAGGCAGATTATAGTAATTAATTTCCGCTGAGATAAAAATATACCGTGAATAAAATCATTAATAAAAAAAATAATAAATATTAATATATGTATTGTATATGTAATAAAATAAAAATTCATGGAAATTTTGATGTACTTTAGCGAGTACTTCATGGATATATCTAATCTGAATTTTTTCACCTGTTTGGCTTCTCGCGAATGAAATGTCAAACAATTTCGCGCCCACGAAGCAATCGGAACTGTTGACCCAACTTTTTCGTAACACGATGGCATCGCAAAATTGTAACACGTATGCAGGAGTCGAGTTTGTCGCGGAAATTTGCATGCTCCGGTAAAAAAATCGCACAATATGCGATTGTAATTTACGCGCGCCTCTAATTAACGTTTTAATGCGATCTATTATTTCTCTCGGTTTCCCGACGAGAGATTTTTTTCGCGGATCGCATCGAGCCGATCTCGAACGATCATCGCACCTGTTTAAATCGGCGCTTGTACTTGGGCCGAGTTGAATGACCCCGTCACACTCCATGTATTATCATGTTATTATAATCGAGCCGTTCTTTCGGGCCACTAATTGAGAACGCGATTAATTAGGGACGGACTCTGGACGTCTGATTCGTCTAGACGGTGTATAGCGAGAGAAGGGAAGAAACTCGCGCGTGTAAATCCCATCTAGATAGAATCCGCGTGCGCGAGCACGTTACTCTCTATCCAGCGAGATGTAATTAGTTTTGTAATAGAAGAATCGCGAGTGTTGATCTAAGCGACCGATAAATCCCACTCTCGTCTCGCGTATATAATTCGCAGATGCGGATCATAATTTTCCAGCCTCGCAATTCACAATCATTCTCCGAGAGGCTTATTAAAAAGGCAGAGTTGAGTTTATTAAAAAAAAAAAAAAAAATACCACATTAATAATATATTGTATATACTATAATATACGTATTCGTCATCTGAATATATTTTTTCTATTTAAGTTTTTCTATTTATTTTTATCATATTTTTTATATTTCTTTATTTTATAATTTTATAAAATATAATATTTTATAGAAGAATTTTATTTACACGTATAGTATAAAATTCTTCTATTTATAGAATAAATTGTAACAATTATAAAATGAAATATAAATGAAATATAAAAATAAAAATAAATAGAAAAAAAATAAATAGAAAAAATAATTATTAAGCAATTATCCACAAAATTTTTCTCTTCAAAGGTATACGTATATTTGTAATCTATATTTTTTTCTATTTTTTATTTTTTTCTATTTATTTTTATTCTTATATTCTTAATTATTTTTTTTATATTTTATTTAAATTTTATTTTATAATTTTTACAATTTATTTTATCAGTAGAAGCATTTTATACTATATATGCGTAAATAAAATTCTTCTATAAAATATATTTTATAAAATTATAAAATAAATGTAAAAATTATAAAATAAAGAAATATAAAAAATATAAAAAATATAATAGAAAAATAAATAGAAAAAATGCTTCTATTGATAAAATAAATTGTAAAAATTATAAAATAAATTATAAATAAAATATAAAAAAATGAATAATATAAAAATAAAAATAGATAGAAAAAAAATATAGATTACAAATATACGTATTTTTGAAGAGAATAATTTTGAGAATAATTGCTTAATAATTAATAAATTCTCAGTTCTATTAAACTTGCCATATAGATTTGCTATGAGCAAACTGTTTAAGCGTTTCTCCGAGTTTTTTACGGAGCATAAAAGGCAGTCGGAAGACAAATTTGCACGAGAGACGCGAATTCGAAGCACGTGCTCTCGTTTCCGCGTTGAATTTCGCGTAACGCGAGATGTACATTGGAGGCTCGAACGTTTATATATGTACTTACCGTAGGTCGGAGAAAAACCAAGGCAAGGTTACTCATTACGTATTTTCATCTCGAGATTTCTTGTCACGCTTCAACCGTTCGTTGTCTTCCGCAATGTAGATTTCACCGAAGGCTCGAATATATTTTGAAAAACGATTCTCTCTCTCGTAGATCCTCTTGATATTCCATTGATGCTTTTTGCGAAGATATTTTGCTCGTTGTTTAATGAATACAAACATGAAATAGAAACGATTGCAATTTGAAATATTGCAATGTGAATGCGTATAAATGTAAACAAATGTATCAACGAAATCTCTGATATCAAATTAACAGTTTTTTTCACACACGTGTGATTGATATTTTGATACAAAACAAATAGAATGTGATAATGTAAAAGAGTTTTCTTCTCTCTCTCTCTCTCTCTCAAATATTTCTACTTTATCGTAAAATATTGTTGATGTTCGTGTTTACAATATCTCTCTTTGCAGAAAATAATAATTCTAAAAATAAAAAACAGAGAAAATAAAACTTTATTTCATATAAAGATGATTTTTTGTCTGACAAACAACGTAAAAGTTTTCTCCGACATTTCCTCCCGCAAAAAGCAAATAACTTTTTTATTGATCACTGCTTCTTGAAAGAGAAAAAAAGAGGAGCTCTGATCCTCGATTTTTTCATAAAGAAATCAGCTGATCTCAGAGGTAATCGATAGAATATATATTTAAAATCTGCGCGATAATCTTCATGCATTGCGTAGATATCTATTTTTTAAATCTTTGTCCGCAGTTTCGATTTGAGATGGGCCAGGATTTTCCCCCTTTTTAAACTCTCTCGATTTAATCCGTCGAAAAAAAGCGGCTTTATCGAGACACCTGGATCGCGTCTTAGCCTTCCGGGGTGCATTCGTTGCAAATTGCATCTGCATCGCGCGTGCGAGCGTTGCACCCTGCATGCGTTAATTAACGCAGAAAAATAATACGCGACGAATTAACATGAGCGATTCGACTCGCACGAAATAAATTGTCGCAAGCCTCGTCTTGGCAAAGATGGTTCCTCTTCGGGGAAAAAGGGCGCATTTGCTATTGCTTATCCCTGTCCTGACCTATGGTTACCATAGCGACGATGGGACGCGCGGCCAATCCCACCCTTTGTGCTAGGGGTGGATTCACTCGTTCGAGCTCTGTCTCTCTCTTTCTCTCCCTCTGCTCCAGAAAATATATCCCTTCCGTTTGACCGAGAAAAAAAATACGGTCAATCGCGTTTTTCTCCGGATTCTATCGATCTCCGGGAATTTTCCTAGGTTTATTGAAATTTTATGCTTATAAAATTTAGTGCAAATTCGATATTTTTTTTAATTGCTTGATATATTCCATTGTTACGCTATAACGTGCTGTTTGATATAATAATTATGTGTAGAGAACAGCTGTTGTGCCGAGAAGAATTGTAATCTCTGACAGCTATTATAGGATTAATATTGTACATTGTTCCGGTATTGAATACGATTCTGTGAAATTAATGGAAAAATGTAAGCTTAAATTTATCATGCATCAGTGTAATCAATTTATTATTATGCTGTGAACAGTGAAAAGTATATTTAGCGTTAAATTGAAAATTAATAATAATATCCAATATACATTTGAGATACAAATATGGTTAATTAGCATTCGAGCCAATAATAAGTTTTAATTTGGCATATGCCATTAATTAAAATGATTTTATTGTTTTTTCGTTTAGAATCGATATCGTGGATATCTCTTATCCAAATATATAATTGTAATATATATATATATATATATATATATATATAGGCACACGAAGAGAATTTTTTGTTATGTTTTACTGCAAAAGTCATTACAAATTTCATCATGCTTGGCAATAAGAAACTATGCTGCATTTTAAAATTTATATATAAAATTTTATAAATGTTTATCATTTTTGGCATCTATTCTATATATTAAAAACACTTAAAGAATCATAAATTTTTAACATAGTTTTTAATATACTTTAAAATTACTGAGATTTTATTACATATTTTAGTAAAATTCATCAAACATATTTTATATCTTATTGTAGTAAATATTAATATGTTTTATTGTGATAAATATTAATCAGAGAAATTCATAAAATTCTTCCAATACTACAATATTATCCTACGATTACTAGGATCTTCAAGATATAAATTCTAAAGAAAAATTCTCTCTATAATTATAAATTTTTAGATAAAAAATGCACGATATATACACATATATATGCGTATTATTACAATTCTATATATTTAGATCGCCATTACAGGCTTGAAAAATGTGATATACGAGATCTATCCTATATTCCTTGGTCCTTTTAATTAAGGTAGCAGACCTTAAGTTTCGCGTGCACGAGTCACTCGAAAGTCATTAAAATCGTCCTTCCGCACTCGCGGCGTGCGCCTGCAGTTCGTGCACCTCTTGTAAAACCGCGCGAACCGGTTGCTCCGACCTGACATTGACG